TCCCCTCAAATTTAGCTGGGCTAATGCTCGCTCATGATAGGAAAGCGGGGCACTGCTTTTCCCCCACACCTGGGACCTGCAGGCTGAGCCCCGCGCTGGCCTCGGTGTCCCGCCCAGCCTCCCCTCGTCCCCCGCGCAATCTGAAACGAGGCTGTTTCTGCCGCCGCCGACAAACCCCCTCACCTCTCGCCCCTCCCGCGCGGGCGCGGCGAGACGGGGGCTGCACTGCCTCTGGCTTCGATCGGGAAACGGGAAAACATGCCAGGTGCTGCGAGGGAGGAGAGAGGGAAGCTGGCTCTGAAACACCCTGTGGCTGCTGGCCATGCTGCCCCTCGCCTTGCCCAGGGAAAGCCCAGCAGAGCCCAGGGCAGTCCCAGGAAAGGCTGGACAGGGAGAAGCTCAGCCTGGCTGGGGGAGCTTTGGTCAGCATCTCCACCAAAACTGCCGCTGTCAGCACTTCAGAGAATCTTCTTCCATAGAAAAACTCTCCTGTTGTGGACATCCATCTGAATCCGCCCCGACAGCCATTAAAATGTTTCTCTGACAAGCAGGGATTACTATGCAAAAGAGCTGAAAGGTGAAGGGGAACTCGGCTGGGCTGGATGCTATGTCCCAGTTTTTTTGCAGCATCACAGCCCACTGGACGTTGCAAGACCACTTTTTGTATGCAAAGAAACCAAGCAAGCTTTGGACACCACACACCAGCAGTTAAGCTTCTCCAATACATGACTCGATCCAATCACCCTCACATCCTTCCTGCCACCCAGACTGGCCCTTTTAGCTTTTCTTCAGGCTTCCAGCTTTTCTTTGAGTAAAATATAGAGCACTTTATTGCACAAGTGCATATGCATCTTGTGTCCAAGGGAATAAGGACGCCCTGATATGAGCAAAGCATTGCCCGTTTTAGCCAGGAGCTCTGCTCTCATTTCAGGGTGTCACTCATGCCAGCGCTCACCACCTCGCTCCTCCACAGGCAACACATTCCAGAGCACAATCAAACCTATTGTGCAGCTCTAAAACAGTTTTTGCTTTAATCTGCCGGAGGGAACAGCACAAGGATTTTCATATCTAATCCAATAAATCTACACTGACATCTTGTGGAGATCATGAGACCGAAGTGCCACAGCCACTGGGCAGAGTGCGATTTAACCCACGCCGTGTCCTGCTGGACACCAGCAGGACACCATCGCAGCAGCAGCCTGACTTCCCAAAGCACCCGCAGCTGTGTCTGCGGTGAAAACCAGGCCCTGCAACCTTAGAACTGATGGTTCTCTGTCCATGAGCATCATTTTGTTAAGTGATCCTCACAAACTCAACTACACCAAGACTATTTATTTTTAAATCCTCACTGAAAGCAATACCATGGCCCCTCTTACATAAATGCCACGATGCTTCAGGCTTCTCAGAGCACAAGCTTCTGATTAGGAGCTATTTTCATGCTGAAATTTTATTATCTCCCTAAGTGCTGAAAGAAAATGAACCTAAGTAGCATTCCGGGACTCCTTTAATGCTCCTCTTCATCTAAAAATACATGGTTTGAGCAAAAACCGTCTGCAAGGGAACATGCACAACATTTTCCTCTGCATTCATCCCGTTCATTTTAGATCCTGTGCCAGGTCTGAAGGGTTAAATTAAGCCACTATCATCTTTCTTCCAGTGCTCAAGGAGTACAAGTCCCCTGTTAGGCACAGGCCCCAGCAGTTCTGCAGCAATAATTGCTTGGTAGGGGTTAACGCCAAGAGCTGAAATCCCACCACAGATAACCTCACAACCCGACCATACAATCGTTCCTCCAGCTTCTTCCTAATACCACTTGGGGAAGTAAATGCTCCATCTCCTCCGAGATGGCCAGAGACCCTCTGGAACCACAGTGGTAGCACCAGGCAGGTAGAAAATAAATGGAGACTACCCCGATGTAACGGGAAGTAGGATTAAAGGAACTTGGACTTCTTCACGGTGTAGCAGCCAAGCTGGGGAAGCCATGACCATCATTCACAGCACTGATGACAGCTACCACTGTCTCCAACAGTGAGTCTCTACACCTTTGCAGGCAACTCAGCCATTGCCACTCAACAAGAAATTCTGCTTTTGCTATGTATCCATTATAGTCACCTCGGAGGAAAAACTGTCACCTAAAAATTTCACATGGGTAACATTCCCTGCAATTATAGCTCCAGGTCACTTTGCTCTATCTTCTCAGGGCACTGTCAACCCCAGTCCCTGCAAAGCCAGACAACTTTCCAGTGTGGGTGTCATGGAGGTAGAGCATTAGCAGTGCATTACAAGACCTCAGCTTCATGCATAAGGATGGAAATGTAAGACAGCAGAACATAATAAACACTCTTTTGCCTTGGACAGATCCTGAGTCCATTAAGTTACCACATAAGATCACGTAAACAGTTAGAAGAAGGGGGAAACCAACCATCCTAAGAAAAGCCCATATGGCTCCAGAGTGGGAATCACTAGCTACAGCACTGGTTCTGATCTGAACAATGGCACACAGCTTTAGGCGTTTGGGCTGCAAAAGAAAAGAGATGATTTTTATGCTTGTGACTAATCTGCAAGCAATGTTTTAAAAGGTAGTAGAGCCTACTGTCAAGCAGTGTACACCCCAAAAATCCCACGCACATAAAAGCCCTGCCTCTTGGGCTCTCTTAATGTGCCTTGAGCAGTCCCAGTAAGCATCCGTACATATGTGCAGCTAGGTCTGATTATTCAAATCCTGTTGCCTAGTATTAACTCTCAAATCTATATTTAAGCACCTAAGTAGGAATTACTACAGCTTTCCAAAGATCATAAGCATCAAGAGCTCTTGTTAAGAGCTTGCTGAAGTACTGACCTCCGAATGAATCTGTTTAAATGCTAACATTCACCTTGCTCTCACTGCTGTGAAATTCAGTACTCTCATATACACACAATGCTCCAGAATCTCTTCCAGCAGGAGCTAAGCTTGTGAGTGTCCTGTCTTTCATATCAGAACACAGATTAGATGCAAATACACAGAGTAGCTATTTCTAAAACCCCACACAGACTTCAGTCACTGCACCTTGTTTTAGAAAAGGCTTGAATACAACAGAACACAGGCTGTGCCTCAGAATTTGGCAGAAATTTGGGAAGAATGGTATTTTTGAAGCAAAACATATCCGAGCATTGAACCAAAAATTAAAACTATCCCAGTACCAAATGGAGATACTTTGATGTAATTCTCACTCTCTCCATTCCAACGCCAGGAAGCCTCTGAAAATTCCTGCAGAACTTGAATCTTGCTGTTCTGACAGTCAGAAAGTCAAAAAGTTTCTTTTCCTTTCCACAGTCCAAGTCCTGCCCTTTGCCAGACAGGCAACTTACATCCTGGAGATGAGCAGAACACAGCAACAGTATTTCAACTCATAGAAACAGACCAACACTTTGCATTTCACTCACTTGTCTTGTAGTTCTTATTTTAAGATCAGTTTGCACATGAAGCCACTGTTTTACATTCATTCTCTCACAAATTCTATATTCATTCTCCTTCCTGCCTGAGTTACAAGGAAATGTGAGAAACAGACAGGAGCATATTTATAGGGCCAATAGTTGCTAACATGGTCAGAGAGAATGAGGAAGAACACAATATGCAAGGCTGGAAATGCCCTGGAGAGTTCAGCAGCAAGATGGTCATTCAGAATCCTGGATTATGAGTAAGTAGCTATGGATGAAAATTTAACAAAAGATAGCTGAAGTAAAATATATTGCAATTGCTTAATAGAGACAAAGGACCATACACATTTAAATAGAATAAAGGATTATCTAGAAAATATGAAGTTACTTCACCAGCATCAGAAGACTAGACAGAAAACTGCAGCGGCATCATGAGACAGCAATTTGTAGGCAACAACTCTCCTTGCCAGGAACGTCAAGTCCTCTTCCTATCCCTGCAGATGCAGGAGATAAGGTCTCAGCTCCAAACACTGTAGTAATCATAAAACTGCTTGCTCTAGTGAAACCAAATGTTATGGATTACTTGACATCCAGACCCATTTTTAAACAACTAATAGCTTTAGAATGGACGCATGGATGGCAGGAGACTTCACAGAATCATAGAATGGTTTGGGTTGAAAGGGATCTTCAAGATGATCTTGTTCCAATCCCCCCCATGCCATTGCAGGGACACCTTCCATTAGACCAGGCTGCTCCAAGCCCCATCCAACCTGGCCTGGAACACTTCCAGGAATGGGGCACCCACAACTTGTCTGGGCAAACTGCGCCAGTGTCTCAACCACCCCCACAGTAAAGAATTTCTTCCTAGTATCTAAACTAAGCCCTCCCTCTCTCAGTTTAAAGCCATTACCGGCAGCACCAGTCCCAGTAACCACCCCTTAGGAACACAACTCCTTTATTATTTTCTCTAACTCACCAGTAGTATGTAGTGCACACATCTCAGGAATACAACAGCCTTTCACCAAGCAGATAACTAACATCCACACAATTCAGATGACTTAGCCATTACCAAAAACTTTTAAATGAACCAATAAAGGTAATTAGTGAAAGGAAGTGAAACAGGATTAACACCATCCAAATACCAGCATGGTTAAGAAAATAGAAAAATAAAGCCTTACTATCTCCATAACAGCTTTTCAAAAGTAGAGCTGCATCAAAAGTTTCTAAAAATTAAAGCATTGCAAGTTTTCCAGAACGGGAAAGATGATCAAATCTGCCAAGACAGGCCAGCTGTGAAAAGGTGCTGGAAGCAGCATTAGACCTAAGATTTTGTATGGTCCAAAGATTACTTTCAAATTTAAAAGACAACAGCTTTCACAAACTACATTTTAAATGCACATTCTACAAAAGCCATACTTTTCAGTTCCCTCTTTTGTTGCCAGAAATATCTACACAGACACAGACACACACGCAAGAAGGTATGACCTTTTGGTTTATTATTCAAAACACAACTCTCGGGTCACATGATTGCTGTGCACTGACAGTAATTCCACTAGAAGAAATCACCAATTTCGACATAATGATTCTTCATTTCAAGGGCAAGCACTTTCCCAAGTCTCAAATCTCTTGAAGGAGTTCCTTCTTTTCCTCAAAATACTTGTGAAACCACTCTATATGTTCAATCTTCTGCTGAACACTGAGGTATGGGTTTTTGGACAGCCCACAGATGACTAGTTCCATGAAGTGGCGAATAGGTCCTTCCTTGGGAAAGACTTCGAGGTGTTTCTCCAGAAAGATGTGTTCATGAAATTCAGCACCATCATCCATTCCTAACAGAAAGGACAAGAAAAAAAAAGACAGTTATTATCATAATATATCAGCAAATTTAACAAAGTAAAAAAAAAATACAGTTTGCAAATAATCTTAAATTAGTAAAGTTAACAGTTCTACTCAGATTTATTAGAATATCTCACATTTAAATCGATTTTCTGGCTGGTGATCTTGTTTGAAAGCTGATGTCAGGATGGGAGTAGGGGGAATAATTAAACCCATAAATCAAACTTTTTGCTAAAATCCTGTTTGTTCAATACCTGAAAATTTTGATTCATCATGGCTACCACGTTTGAGATTGGGAGCACTTTCTTCAAGAAAACACTGCTTGCCTAAATTCTGCAGATGATTACAGAATACAAGTGACTCTTAAACAAATGAGGCAACCTCATAAAGTATTAAATACGCACACTTCCAAGTCCATTCCAAGTCATGGTTTTAACATCCCATTGCTGTCGATTGGGCACAGGAATTTGTTTTTCTAACACTTACTGAATCTGTGAGTGCATGCTGATCTAAAAATATTGAGTATCCTACCAGCTGCTACTAAGTCATAACCATCATCAAAGATGATGCATTCAAAAGCATTCACAGAATCATAGAATCAACTGGGTTGGAAGGGACCTCAAAGATCATCGAGACCAACTGCTGTTACTAGACCATAGCACTAAGTGCCACATCCAGTCTCATCTTAAAAACCTCCAGGGATGGTGAATCCACCACCTCCCCGGGCAGCCCATTCCAATGCCTGATCACTCCCTCCGTAAAAATCTCTTCCCAATATCCAACCTAAACCTCCCCTGGCAGAGCTTGAGTCTCTGCCCTCGTGTCCTACTGCTGGTTGCCTGGGAGAAGAGACCAACCCCCACCTGACTACAACCTCCTTTCAGGGAGTTGTAGGGGTCAATAAGGTCTCCCCTGAGCCTCCTCTTCTCCAGGCTAAACAACCCCAGCTCCCTCAGCCTCTCCTCATAGCACTTGTGCTCGAGTCCCTTCACCAGCCTTGTTGCTCTTCTCTGGACCTGCTCCAGCACCTCAATATCCTTCCTGAACTGAGAGGCCCAGAACTGCACACAGTATTCAAGGTGTGGCCTCACCAGCACCAAGTACAGGGGCAGAATCACCTCCCTGGTCACTTCACAGGACACAGGACAAGGGATTATTGGAGATCTCTAATCAGGCACAGCTCAGATCCTACAGTAAAAACTTTTGTTCTCTGTCCTGTGGATTTCTTTTGCTGTTGTTCATGCTAGAAGCAAAGACTCAGAACACAAATTCCTACATAGAAAAAAAAGGCTGCTTTGGAAGTTCCCAATTCCAAGATTTTAAAAAAAATAAAAATAAGGCAAACTGGGATGTGCAATGAAAGCTCTTTCTTCAGTAGGATACACATGAAAATTCTTCTTTGATCCCAACTTGCTTGCACCTTTAAATAAAAATCTGTTACTAGAGAAACATACTGCATATGTACAGATGGCAAAAATGAGAAGTCTACACCATAGACATAAGTGCACATGTTTTTCTAAACTAGCTAGTTTCATGTTTTTCTATATTATTCGACAAAAATAAATCTGGAGTATTAAAACTGAGGTAATTAAGCTATGTCAGCCCGAGGCTTCCTTCTTTGTTAGAGCTTCTACAGTTTCAGAAGAAATGATGCACATCTCTGGGATGGAGAAGTGTCTCAACCTGTATTTGTTAAGTTCACATTACTTCTGGTTTAAAGTAGAGGTACTGCAATATCTGAGGAGCTGAGAAATACCTCGGTTTTCCTCACAGATTTTCCCTAGGAATGCCTGAGTGTATCAATACCAGCTCCACACCACATTTATCTCCCTTGCTCTTGAAAAAAGAAAGTACATTTCCTGCTTTGGAAGCTCTCTCCTTTTTCCTTTATGTTGAAAGTTAAAAAAAAAAAAAAGCAGGCAACATCAGCTTCAGAAGTATGTGTCTGGAAACCTATGTCCACTGACAGAAACACAGCAATGGTCTTAGCATGCCACCCACAATGACTTTCCCCCACCAAGGCAAGGTGGAATCTCACTGCACCTGGATGCTACTGGTTGCTTTTTCAAACTGACCACCTTTCCAGATTTCCATATTTTTGCTGGTCTCAAAAATCCAAGAGAACCAAACCAATGAACTCACTACTGAAAGAATCTGAATAATGCTGACAGTAAAATTTGGCCTTCTGGATGCTCTTCTTTTGGGGACAGATATAGGGTATCAGGAGATAAATAATGTCTAATAAATATTTCACCACTTTTCATCTCTGACCCAGAAGAAATTAAACCATTTACAGTCTCACAAAAATACAGGTCACATATTCTGATCTCCTGCTTGTCAAAGACATAATCCATAGTTTGGGGATCAAGTGTTAAGTCCAAACATTTCAGTTAGACCACATATTTCATTCCTCAAAAAAGTAAAGTGCGCATCACAAAAAAGGAGACCACATTTGCCCAAAGCATCAGAGGCTGAAACCTCTGGTGGGAGCTGATTAGATGAGATATGCTTACATGACTCCCCCCACTCCCAGCAAGTCCTAAGTCCTGCTGCAAGCCTGTCCCTCAGCCTCTCTCGCACTGTCCTCAGAAACCTACTTTGCAAGGGCATGCATGGCAGGAGTCTAAAGTAGAGGACTTTCTTTTTCAACCTCAAAGCAAGAAGTCACTCACTCTCAATATCCTATTTCCAATCCCCTACACACTACAGAACAAAGTCTGGGGGATTTCCTTAGCTAAAACATTAATCCTTCCAACACATGACCAACCTTGCCTTAAAGATGTCATCTCAAACACAAATGTCCATCCCTTATATGGAGTGCTGCTGCTATGCTATAAAGGTGACTGAGTATCCTGATCTAGTGAAAAGATGTCCTTGTCCATAGCAGGGGTTTGGACTAGATGATCTTTAAAGATCCCTCTCAATACAAAGCATTCTATGCTTTTAGGATTTTTAGAACAAGATAAATCATGGTATTCAGTAGGTCCCTAGAACAGACCCAGAATCAGAAAAGCAACCCCCCCCAAACGGTTATGTAACATTTGCCACTGCTCTTGGCAAGCTGATCCAATACTTCTCTGCTGGGAACAGCATCTCAGCAAAACAGATCGAACAGGGCTTGGTATTTTGGCCTTCAGAAGCCAAAGGCAACTGAGGAATTAATTTTCTTAAGCCCTCCTATCACTTTTGCAGTAACAATCTCCAGCACACCAAAAGCATTTGCTCCTCATGATGTGCTAAAGCACAGTAGCACCTATTATCTGCACTGTCCTTTTTAGCTCCTCAGGATTTGAGTCATCAAGATATAAATGCAAAGAAATAATAAAAGAGGCACAAATCAATGTTTTTCCCAACTTTTGCCACGGCAATCATGGAGCAGAACCAAAGCTACCAGAAGCAGAAGACGCAAGCAGAAAGAAGAAGTGAGAACGATGTTATGCAAGTTATACTAATGATTTGCTAACCTGGCAAAAATTAATCAGAGGCTGACGAGGTGGAGCAAAGACAAGGGAATTTTCTGCCTAACAGTAACTTCAACTGCATCAGACAAGGGAAAGGCCATGCAGGCAAGAGCAGACAACAGGGCAGCAGAGTGCAGGGGTGGAAGGAACACTGCTGCTGGGCACTGCAGCAAGCCAGTATGACTAGCCACATCTTCAGATGTTTGCACCAAAGCCAGAGCAGTTTTAAAAATCATGACCATGCCCTGATGCCACAAAGCACAGCCCAGTGCCTTGGTAAAGCACTCTAACGAGAGCACCAGGTACACTCTGGAGCCAAGAAAAAACAGTTATAAGCTGTCTCCTTTCTTTTTTATATTTAGTTTAAAACTTTAAAGGTTTTCATCATGCTCAAAGTTGAGTATATATGCTTCCTCAATAGAAAATTTAATTGCACTTATGTTTTTAAAGCCACATGCTTGTGGCATTGAAGAAAAGTCACACATTTCTTGATACAGAACAAGCTGAAGTAATGTTCTCCTATTGAGGGGAAAGGCTGTTACAAAACTGCCAAATTAACAGCAGAAAGGGGCATCTTTCTTTTGCAGAGACACTGAAATTACAGTATGCCGATATAATTGGAGCGAGGCTCTCCAGCTTTTAACTGTGCTTTGACATACCTGACGTGATTAACAGCCTGTGGCTGGCAGCTTGATAGGATGGAATTTACCCACTTGGTATTTCAACCTGAGAGGTGATAGATTTTGGAACGCTACACTGGAATTTTCCACATGACTAGTCTTTGTGGACAAATCAATAAAGATTCTTGTTTAAGTATATGTAAAGACTCTTTGTCCATGCGCCACCCATCCCAGACAGCACAGTTCCGGCCACACTGCTGCAACAGAAAACCCATCGGCCGCCAAAGACACTTTGTCAGCCGAGGGCCCCAGACAGCAGGGTTCCAGCCACACTACAACAACACAAAAACCATTGGCCACAACCGTTTCAAGCTTGCAAAAACATGACTAGAGTATACTTGGATTTCTACATGATGGAACAGATCAATTCTGGGAGCAGTGATTAAATTCTGTGAAGAAACTGCCAAATAGGAGGGATGAGAATAAACATTAAGTAACAATGAACCACATTATGCAATTTGCAACTCAATATAGGACAGATTTTCAAAGACTCGGAGCTTTAGATACTAACCTGTTTTACTCTCAGTGACTGAATCATTGTAAAGCAGTTCTGTTTGATGCCTTTAAAGTCTTAAAAGAAACCCCAAAACCCACAGCCATGCCCTCCCTGAAGTCATGAAGTCCCCTTTCCTATACTGTGCATTTTGTGTAGCTGCTCTTCACTTCCTTAACATGTACGCCCTCTCTCTGCTGGCTTGACTTCACACAGGGCTTTTTTTTTTTTTTAAATGGTAATAAAAGAAAATACTGTGCACAAAGATGCCTAATTAACACAGATGCCCAGAGAGAGTGAATATTGTGACTGTTTATTCTTATGAAACAGACAGAACAAAGGGAGCAAACAACTGTTTAACACTCGGCCTGCCCAGATATGGAACTGGCAGATATCTGACTGGGATCTGGCTAGACACTTGGTCTGAGAGCCACACCAAGGAACAGAATCAGTATTATAAAACACAGCAGTTTTAAGATCCCCCAACTTCTGCTAGGAGTTCCTTTAAAGAAATTGCATAGTAAAAGATATTATGTAACAGGCTTGAATGGCCTTTTGGTGTTGAAAGCACCAGCGAGGGAGGGAGGGAGTTCTCCCCTTCTTGGCAGAAGCTATTGCTCAGATCAGCCAAACCACCTACAGGACTTCACCTGAATGAAGCGAATGCCAGAATGAGTTCACCTGAAGCATCTCTGATCTGGGTCAGTCAGCAAGTTGTATTTGTTTACTATCAAATGCATGCCTCATCGCTGACACACAATGTTAGAACAGGCAAAGGTCATAACATGCTCTAATTTTCAAAAAAGATAGATAGAGGCAGATAATGAAAGTTAACAGTGCACATACCAACTTCATTGTCAATTGGGAACTCCCACAGTATTCCTTCTTTTGTCCACTGGATCATCTCCTCAAAACCATTTCGGGGAGGCTGTGCAGTTATTGCTGCTATCTCCTTTGCAAACTCCAGATCCCAAATTGTTGGTGAAGATACTAAAAAAAGAAATTTTACGAAGATCTGTCAGCATCCAAAGAGCTCTTACTAGCTAAAACAAAGTCCTTTAACATTAACCTTTGCAGAGACTAATACTTCCAGCTGTGTAAATTTTTCTAGCTTAGATGCCAGCATCACCTTTGTCAAATGAGACTTCTCTGTCGACATGGAAGTCCATTAAATTCTCAAATGTCTGGTGAAAATGCATTCTGAACTTCTAGAGGACAATTTATTTTTAAGCCTTTCAGACACAGCCGCAATTTAATTTTTCTACAGTCTGTTTTCCCTCACAAACTGTGGGTACAACAAACTCTGAACTTGACCGGTGCACTCTGCTACAGGAATCATTTCTACAGGAGTTTTCAGTTACTTCATAACTATATTCTCCATCAGGGAAACAACTCAATCTACAAATGATGGCAATGCCTTCCCTAACACTCCCGAGTGTCCCAGTTCTTGTCTCTTGGGCTTGAGAAATCCTAATTTCCAATTCTTTTCACAAAATCAAACAGTTCCTTCAGGGATTAATCTTTCCTGATGCGTATCATTTTATTTATTTATTTTTAAATCAAAGTGTACTCAGATGGCAGCAGTTACTGTTCAGGAGTTCCTCCTTCTCCACCCAGGAGAACTGGTCTTGAGCCCAGACTG